TAACTGCAAATAGGGGAAAAAAAGTGCAAAGGGGGGCCCTCCCTGGTGCGTAACAGGTAAGGATGCTGTAGCCACTTCAGTGCGAGTTCGAACTCCAGCCCCAGAGGTGATCCACATGGCACTGCAGACCTCTCCTGACCTGCCCACTGCTCCCCTCAGCAGTGTACTTCATCAGTCTGCCTGTTCTGCTTCCCACTTTGTCTCTGGTGAATCATCTCATAGCCCCTGCACCTCTGGCTTGTACCCCATTTCTGTATGCATAAATAAATAAAAATCTTTAAAAAAAAAAAGGTGCAAAGGGCTGAGATGATGAGGTGAGAGTGGGCTTCGTGTGTCTGAGGAACAGGAAGGAAGGCTGCTTGTTTTAAGTAAATGTGAGGTTTTTGTTGTTGTTGTTGTTGTTTTAAGATTTATTTATTCATACAGAACTGAGGTACAGGCAAGAGATGCAGAGGGTGAAAGGATTCACCAGAGACAGAGTAGGGAGCAGAACAGGCAGATCGACGAAGTACACTGCTGAGGGGAGCAGCGGGAGGGTCAGGAGAGGTCTGCCGCGCCATGTGGATCTCCTCCGGGGCAGGTGGGGATTGAACTCTTGTGGAAGTAGTTTAAGCTTCTCAGTGCTGTGCTTTAACTGGCTGCGCCACCAGGGAGGGCCTACAAACTAACTGTTACATGGAGAATAGGTATAGGCAGCAGGGTGAATTCAGGGAGACTGATTAGGCGTCTACTATAATCATACAATTAAGAGATGATGAAAGCTTGAACTAAAAGGAGTTATAACTAGTACTCAGATTATAACTGAGAGAATAAAAACAAATGGATTCCATGTTGAGTATGAGAGAAAGAAATGAAGGATGATGCCAAGGTTTATGTTCTGCACAACTAGAAAATTGGAGACCTGGAGGAAAACTTGCAGAGTGGGTATGGTGGTAATGGGTGAGTGGAGGGCAATGGAGGGGCCCCCTTGATTTGGGACACACTAGGTTTAAACATCCAGATATAAATGCTGAGAAGGCAGCTGGAAGTCCTAGCCTGGAATGCAGGGAAAGAGCAGAGCTGGAAGGATCGACGTGGGAGTTACTAGAATACAGAAGGCATGTATGATCACAGACCTGGATAAAATACCTAGAGGATAAGTAGAGAAGACAAGAGGTCCAAGGACTAAATCCTGGGGTAACCTGATTTGTAGAGGTTGGGAACATAAGGAGGATGCAGCAAAGGAAATATACCTCTAGCTTAGCTCAGATGGCAAACTTCTTGAGAGCAGACACTACTTTTTTTGTCTTTTTATCTTCAGCTTTTGGCCCAGTGCCTCTTGGTTCATACTAAGTATTCAGTAAATAAATTAAACTGTCCTTTGAAACCCAGCTAGAATATAGAATTATTTCCTAGAAGTTCTCCTAGTACAATATGAGTCCAATGCTTGAAATATGACCAGCTCAGTGAGGACATCTTTCCAGCCACCTGCAGCACACACTGAGCTGGTTTTGAAATAACACACCACTGCGACACACGCCTGGGGAGACAAGGCACAGATGAGAGCTTTAAGAGAAAGGGCCTATTATTGAGAAGAGCAAACACTATGAAATTTAAAGGCCAAGAATCAGAAACAGAAACTTTTCATCTTCTATTGTTTCACAAAGTAAATAAACACGAAACTTCAAGTGGCTGCTCAGCTTTTCTGTATTAGTCCATTATTAAACCATAAAGAGCTACAGCAGAGAGGCTAAACTTCCAGCTGCACCTACAAGCAGACGGCAATAAAAAGGGTAACTGAGCACCTGGAAGAAAGTACAAAATTCTTAATAAGTTTGTCTCCCTTTAAACATTTATTCTGTTCATCATAAAATACTGAAATCATTCCCATACATGGACCTTTATTTTATCCTGACATAGGAAAACAGAAAACCTAACTTTCTGAATCATCTTTAAAGTCTTCTGTTTCCCAAACTAGTCACATGGAAAAAGATGTGTGTGAATATCCAATTTACTCAAAACAACTCTGCTACCAAAAAAAACATTCAACTGATCCCAATGGCTTTTTATCCATGCCCTCAAAGGGCATTTTGGCTAACTTTTTTACTTATACCTGAGTTGAGTAGAGGTGTTTCAAGTTTAACAATTCAAGGCAGGAAAATGAAAGATGAAAAAGTTCAAGGAACATTAACAGCTAAGGGATATTGTAGAAATTAGAATATACAGGAAAATCAAGTTAAATACTAATCTCAAAAAATTCATGGTCAGATGAAAAAGAATGTTTTCCCAAAACAAAGAATATCTCTATCCAGCTTGGAAACTAAAGCTTAAAATGTGATTTTATTGAAACACTGAATCATCCTGATAGTCAAATTTTCACCTCTTACTAACTATGGCACTGCACTATTAACTATTCATTGGTATTTCAGGTAGAGATTTTGCCTATCATTTGGACAGCAATTAAAGAGTAAGTATAGGCCCTCCCTGGTGGCGCAGCGGGTTAAAACACTGCACTGAGAAACTAAAGCCACTTCCGCATAAGTTCGATCCCCGCCTGCCCGGGAGGTGACCACATGGCGTGGCAGACCTCTCCTGGCCTGCCTGCTGCTCCCCTCAGCAGTGTACTTCATCGATCTGCCTGTTCTGCTTCCCGCTCTGTGTCTGGTGAATCCTCTCACCCTCCGCATCACTGGCCTGTACCCCAGTTCTGTATGAATAAATAAATAAGCAAAAAAAAAAAAAGAGTAAGTATAGTACTAATACCCAGTTTAAATTCTCTAAATTCACAATGAAGGCATTTTAATACAAACTTCTCTGTGCTATTCACTATTCCATTTTGCTATCAGTAGGACTGCTGTTCCAGTTTTTAAGTGTCTAGAATCCTCTCGTCAAATGGGATTTCTTATTAGTCCTAAAGTTACCTGGCACCTCAAAATGGCTCAAAGTATATTTGTTGAGTAAATGGATAATTACACCATGGGGCATATAAGGAAACTACTAGGGGATGGTACTTAGTGGATATATGTCGACTTTGTCCAGTATCTCAATGCCTTTCTGATTTGAGGGAAATTCAAGATAAATATATGAGGAAGGGACCACATACCACTAAAAGCAAGAGGAGTAGAGAATTTTTCCTATTCACTGAAAGCTACAAGCCAGAACATGGGAAAGTGACAAAACCTGTATATCTGTTATATGGAAATTTTAAATCTTAAAATAGAGTGAAAGATTCGAGGTTCAAAGGATTATTCACAGCAGAATTCAAATAAAGTACAGCAGCTCACTGTTGACTGTTCACTGGCCAGTCAGAAGCATTAAGAAAACAGAAACAAAAGTCTTAGCTGAACTTTGCTTCCCATCGACCCCATCCAAGCCTAGTTCTGTGAGCTATATAATCTTCATTCTTTTAACTAAAGTCTCATCCCACTTAAGTGAGCCAGAGTTGATTTCTACTGTATACACTAAAAAACTGGCACAGGGAGTAGCTTATTGGCATAACCACCTCAAATAATTATGGACAACCCAGGATTGGTCTCTAGTCGAAGTCAGTGAGTATCTAATTAGTTAGTGTGGGGAAGGGATTCTGCAAGTTCTGGACATGCAGTGAAATAACTAATTATCACTGTTGGTCACATGGTATGCTCCACGTTACTGACAAAGTGCTGCCAAGAATAAAACAATAGCATGAAAAATCCAAGACTAGAAGGAGGTACATCTGTTATTATAAGGGTACAAACTACTTTAATATTCTTCTATTAAATTCTTCCCTGATTAAAGATGATTTCTATGACCTGCATTCAAGAATGCTGACTAGAAGTATAAATGCTTTAGGATAATTATACCCCCAGGAAAAGAAAACAATTTACTGCACACACACATACACACACCTTTTTGTAGATCAGAAATTAAATATTATATAATGGTAGATTTGTGCTCCAAGTCAAGATATTTACTTCTTTTATTGCTAGGTTACAGTTAATCAATGAAACTAGATACTTTTAAGGGGCTATCATCAAAATCTTTAATTTTCCCTTATATTTTAACATGTTGAGGCTTTAAAATACTATTAGTAATATCAGAAAATCTTTATATACCGCACTGGTTGAGACTTTATACTGATGCTGATGCTCTTTACAGGTCACAGAAAATAAAGAACTTTGCCAAAAGACAGATACATTCAGTGAGAATGAATTAGAATCACAGAAATTTGTAAGCAGGACTGATTTGATTCACATTCAGTCCTAAATTGCATCCTTATTATCTAGAATCCACTTGTCAAATGAGATTTCTTATTACTCCTAAAGTCATTAAGAAAAGCATATAACTGTTTTGGTAAGTGATTCTACTACTTAACACCTAGAATCCTGTTTTGGGATATTTTGTTGTGTTGTATAACACAACAAAAATTTTGTTGTGTTGCTACATTGCCTTTTACATTTACAGACTACTATGGGTGGTTCCTGATAGACAAGTATATCAACTCTTCATACATTTAAAGGTTATTACTAATTTATCTGTCAAAATTAATTCCTTTTTTTAAAAGATTTATACAAGAACTAGAGTACAGGCCAGAGGAACAGAGGGTAGAGGATTCACCAGAAATAGCAAAGGGAGCCTTAAGAGTCTCTTCCCATATTCTGTAAATCGAGTATACTTTTGACAAACCTTCCAAACTGCAGGGCTTAGTATAGCCCAAAGGAAGATGCAAAGTGAAAGAAGAAATATTGGTTTTGGAGGTAGATGAGAATGTGTCCCTGGAGAAGAGGGTCAAAAAGCAATCAATAATATTGAGAATGGAGCAGGAACGGCTGGAAGGAGTTAAACATGTACCCAAGCATTCTTAGTACAAAGGCAGGGCTAGAAGAAATAGATGCTTTTGTATTTCATATTTTTTTTATAAACCTATCATCAAAGTTCTCTAAGAGGTCTCAAAAACATCATTAGATTTTGCTCTAAAACAGTAGTTATAAAATTGTCTCAATATTGACTAAAGTGTTGCAAAACTGATATGGAATTTTTACCTGAATGGCACATCTTCCTGTGGAACATCCACATAGTAACGAATAAAAAATCTCTCAGAATCTTCTCGTTCACCATCAGTGACAACACTGCCATTAAGTTTGGAAACTGATGGCAATCTGTCAGTAAAAACAAAATAAAGGCATTTAAGATACTAACAACATTTAGTTTTAAAAATAAATGGTTTAAGGCCCAGTCTTATTGTCTGGAAAAGGCACATTTGATATAGTTCTGCTTGTGTGCAACTACCCACATAACTGATGTGATATAAAAGGACCAAAAATATCTAAAGTTTCGCTGAAGTGACACTGAACCTACCTCACCTTTCAAAAATAAAATTCTAGGTAGCAGAGTCCAAGTAAAATTTAATGCAAGTCACGTATTTAATTTAAAATCCTTTTGCGGTCATATTTTAAAAAGCTAAACAAAACAGGAGACATCAGCTTTAATAAAGTATTTTTTTAATCCAAAATAGCCAGGACTTAATCATTTCAACCTGTACCCCATATGAAAAAATAACCAATGAAATACTTAAATTGTTTACTATAAAGTGTTCAAAATCTTGAGTCTGTATCAGACTTAGAGCACATTTCTATTCAGAAGAGCCATAACTCCAAAGTACAAAAATCAACCAGGGCTAGTGGTATCATATTGAACAGTACAGTTCTACAGTACAGTCAGTATAATTTGTTTACAGAGTTCAGGACATGAACAAGAGACTTGTGTAAAGAAAACAAAATATAAGGCCTGCTGCAAGACTAATTCTTCTTAGAAGAAGAGATGCTAAAATGTCTTTCTTCAGTGAGGTAATAATGTCTATGTTAACAACTGGAAAGCTGGGAAGGTATGCGAGGTGTTAGCTGGTCAGGAAGATCAATACCATTTTCAAAGAACCACTCTTCTTCAGGGAACCATAAAGCCTACCATTCCCCTTTCAAACCCACTATGTACACTATACAAAGGGAACAAATCAAAGCTCCACGGCCCTTTACACCTTAGCCAAACTGTACTGCTGCTAAAGGCACCTATAAAAATAAACATTCCTGGGACACTTTAGTAGTCTGTGGGAGGGGGAATCTGAGAAGCCGTGGAAGGAAGAAGGTAACAGCACAGTAGTCAAATGTATGTTAGTCTACATTTAAGAAAACAAAGATTCTGCTTTCCTAAATTTTACACTATGAGATAGCCCAGTTTTCAGATATTTACATTTTAAGTAACCATTATGTTAACAGAGAAAATGAGGACAACTAATATAGAATTGATTCCCTATTATACCTACTTTTCCTTTATTAGTCAAATATAGTAAATATAAAAAAGCATGCAAATAGAGTGAATTTGTGAGGGAATCTTTCAGTGGTCTTGGCAGGTCAATTATATTTCCTATCTTTTTTAGCATGGTGTATTCTCCTTTCCTCAAGATTTAGAGCTACAGATTCTGCTCCTTCAAGCATAGTCTGTTCAAGAAATAAAGATAAACATACAGTGTTCTTTGCCCCTCCCCAATAGTTAACAGAATAACACTCCTTTAATGAAACAACAAGTTACCAAGAAAAGACAGCAGGATGTCAAAACAACAGACCTGGCTATTACCAATTTTCTTCGTTCCTCAGTGGTATATGGCTGCAGAAGAGGAATTCCTAACAATCTCACTTCCTCAAGTTTGGGGAATGAATTTAACTTGTCAATGTCTTCCCAGGACTGCAAACCTAATTTGAGAAATATACAGTTTAAACAAATGTAGAAAAAAAAACACAAGAAAATAAAAATAGCAAAAGTACTACCTCAATAATAATTTCTGAAATGTTAAAATGATCATAAACAAGAGTGTGAAATTTTTATCAAGGGAAAGACTGGAATGTAGTCAAATGCCATAAAGCTTTCCTATAGCCACTTCTATCTCTTGATCCAGTGGTAAAAAAAGGCCTTTATTTGCCAATGTACACTGATCCACTGATTCTCTACCCATAAGGCTTATAAAGGGGGTAACAGGCTTTAATAAATAGGATGTGGCCAATAAAAAGTGATGTGGCCAAATCCTCAATGTAGACTCATCAGATAGAGCAATTCTATAGTATTCAAATCTTTACCTAGTAAATTCAAAGGGAGGGCAAGGTCAATAGAACCAGGAACTAGTACTATCTCTTTCATATTGTCCTCTTTTGGGGGGACATGGGAAACAGTCAAAATTTAAAATCAAACCCAAAAAACCTGAATCTTACTAAGAAGGCTAGGGGTGGCAACAAAATAAGATCATTTCATCCCAAAACAACTCTTTCCTATGACTGAGCAAAAGTATTATCCAAGTCAATACTTGGCACGTAGGACACATATTCCTGTAATAATGAAGCTGGTCAATTTTACAACACATTAAATGCGTTTCAGAGAACAATGTAGTCCCTTCCTATTTTTATCAACCTTCAGCAAGGGTAAAGGAAGACAAGTGATTTATGAAGTCCCTGCTGCACAACTATCCCCCTCACAGCCGTCCTCTTCCTTTCAGGATGGCGTTTCCATCTGGAAGAACAGAGTATGTGCAAGGGTGTCAAGCTGTGAAATAAACAGCTTCCCTGTACAAAATACTGTATTATAAAACTTAATTTCCATCTGCAATAACCTACATGTGGAACTAAATTATATTTTTATGTTGTAAGGTAGGAATTTTTAGTTATATCACTCTTTTAAGAAATAGGCAGAAAGACAATGTTAAGATAATGTATTTTCTAAAGACACATCTGATAAAAGATGATTATCTGAAATACACAAAGAAATCTTAAAGCTCAACAGTAAGACAATGATAAACTACTGAACAGACAAAAAAACATGAACATGCACCTCACTAAAGAAGATATACAGCTGGCAGGTTAAGCACATGAAAAGATGTTCAATATCCTACGTCACTAGGGAACAACTAATTAAATCAACAATGAGTTACTACTATAAACTAGTAGAAGGGCCAAAATCCAAAACACTTACAATACCAAATGCTGACAAGAGCTGGAGCAACGGGCACCTTAATTATTGCTCCTGCAGATGCAAAAAGTCTACAGCCACTCTGACAACTGGCAGTTTCTTATAAAACTAATCATATTCTTACCACATGATCTAGCAACTGCACTCCTAGTTATTTACTCAAATAAAATGAAAACCTATGATCACACAAAAACCTGCACACATTGGTTTACAGAGGTTGTCAAAACATGGTAGCAACTAAGATATCCTTTAGTATGTGTGCAGAAAAACTACAGTACATCATACGGCAGTGAAATATTACTCAGTGCAAATAAGAAATGAGTTGCAAGCCATAAAGACAAAGAAGAAACTTAAATACACATTACTAAGGAAAAAAAAGTCAATCTGGAAAGGTTACATACTGTATGATTCCCACTTGATGACTTTCTGGAAAAGGTAAAACTATGGAGAAGGTAAAAAGATTGGTGGCTGCCAGGCATTAGTAGAGAGGGAGGGATGAGCAGGAAGGAGCACAGAGGATTGTTAAGGCAGTGAAATGGTTATGTATCATACTACAAGAGTGGATACATTTATGAGAACTACAGGAGTTATACATTTGCCCAAACCCATAGAATATAGAACAACAACAATAAGCCCTAATGTAAATTATGGATTTGATGTGATGATAGTTCTATGTAAGTTTAGTTGAAACAAAAGTATCACTTTGGTGCAGGATTTTGATGGATATGGGAAGGTGTGTATGTGGGACCTGGAGGTATGTGAGAACTCTGTACTTTCACTTAATTTTGCTGAGAATCTAAAATTTCTCTAAAAAATAAAGTGTATTAATTAAAAAATACAGACTAAAGATAATCATTGCTGTGATATAGCAATGAATAGGATGGTAACAAATTGGCAGCCACCTATATCTAATACTACAAAGGAAAGTGCATATTCAAAAGGTATGGCATTTCTTGACTTAAATCCAAACATGCTCTAGCCTGTCATTCTTTGTACCTTTCTACTCTGCTTTTTACTATTTAATTCATTCATTTCATTTCACTCTATTCATAGCATGACCCCTGTAATAAATAAAATCTAAATAGCTAATACAATGCTAAATACCACTTGATACTTATCAGAGCATTTATGAAAACGGATGCCTTAAATTTAGCTGTCAATATTATTCTGCATGTGATTTTTGAAAAGTCAACCTGTAAGAAGGCAGAGCTATAACAGAAAGAAATTTCCTTTCATTCTATTTCATGATTAAGCTGAGGTCAATTCGCATGTCAATTGGGAACCAGGCCTGTACCTCACCTGACTTGTGGAGGCTGATGGAACGCAGATTAGGAAACAACCTGGCCAAGGAATCATCAGGCTCCTCAATAGCATTCACATGATTGTTAGCTAGGACGAGGGTATCCAGGGAGGGAAACATAGCTCCTAACTTGCGAATCTCAGTCCAGTCTTGGAGGTTATTGTCTGTTATATGTAGTAGTTTAAGAGAATGACAGCAAATAGAAGGACAAGACACTGTTTCATAGTCATTAAGGCACAGGAAGAGCTCCTCCAAACTGCAGAGAAAAAAGGAAAGATCTCATTGTTTAAAGCAGTTAAGTTTTTATCCATCTATTTTCATTCATTCAGTAAATAAATGCCTACTGTCAGTGAGACTGTTCAGTGTTGTAGAGAAAATACAAAGAAATCTCCTGAAGCCAAAATATAACTGGGAATATAAAACCTAAAATACAAAGAACAGCAGAGAATGATATAACCTGGTAATAAATTAACTTTGTGCTTAAACAAGTGCTAAATTAGTGATACTAACTGTTAAGTGCACTGTAGTTTACATTAAGAATGGAACTGAAATTGTAGTTAGAACAATCAGGAAGGATAAATGACCTTGAAGGAGTGACACATTTGCTTAACAGGAGAGGAGATAGAAGAAAATTCCAGAAACACTATGAATAAATGTTTAGAAGTAGAAATAATAACTACCTTTCATTGAACTCCTATGTCAGGCCCTGTGCCAGGTCCCTAGTAATTGTTACTTCGATTTCTGCAAGTTAGATACAATGGTGCCCAGTTTATAGAGAAGGACGCAGAGCTCAAAGAGGTTAATTAGCTCATCCAAGACCATATGATTAGTGAATCTGAGATTTAAAGGCTCATTCTATGCCATGCTAGATGTTGCATGCAGTGAGGAAATCAATCTTATTAAGGTGAGGGTGAGAAAATAAGATGGAAAAAGCAGGGTGAAACCAGAACCTGTAAGGTTTTGATAATCTCCATAGTTAGACCATCAGAGAAACTGTCATATAGTTCTTTAAGGTACTTCTCTTAAATACTTGTGCTATACAAAGATAGATACAAACAAGACATAACAAAGCATTTCTAAACTGACAAGCAAAAATATAATTTCTTACTTAAATTATAGAAAAGAACACCAGGTCCATTTTCCCCTCAAACAAACCAGGCACTTAATCGTCTCTGTGTTTATATATTTAGAGATACTATGATTTTTTTTTTTTCTTTCCTCCCAGAGGAAAGGGCTGAGGCAAAATTTGAAATCAGGTAATCAGAAGATTCAAATGGAGAAAGATAGTGTTGATCTAGAAATAATAAATGCTTCTCAGGAATATTTTCTAGCCAAAGGATGACATATCCTATGTCTTGGAGCTGCTCAACACTGAACAAGTAGTCCAGTGAAAATGTTACCAGATTACCCTCACACCCTCATTCTAATTACTTTGTTTTTCTAACCTCATTCTCTGTTCAGTCTGTAGTTCTACTGTTTCTGAGATGGAAGATCAGCAGTAACTCTATGTACTAACACAGATGGCAACATAGCTCTCTCTCCACCATGCTCTCTGGGCTTACTCAGGTAATTCCTGCAGTATCGTGTGGACTGTCTCCCAAGAAGCTTTGCTGTTGTTGAGGACAAGCTTTCGAACCCCAGAGAAGGACCCAGCACATGTTCTTTCTAAAACCGACAAATTCAGAGGGTTGGAACTCAGGTTTAGAAACTCCAACTGGGGAACATTTGACACAATTTTACTGACCTAGAAAGAAAACAAGAAAAACACATCAGGCAGTCATCAGAGTTTTAAAATAGTAGTCACACTCAAGAGAGCCTAAGGGAGCAGGTCTCCGCATTCACATTCAGAAGTCCTCTCTAGTGTGGTTCCCACAGAGGTGCAGAAGTAATTGCAATTTAAGTCTTGGCAAGTAATTTAATCTTTTTTTCTGTGAAATAGTGGCATCACTGGAAATTAATAGTACAAAACAAAGATTTCCCATGTTACCTTTGGCAAGGTTTTGATTCTTCTCTATGTGATATTCTCTTTGATAAATAAAGAGATGGTAGTTTAGACTACAAATTTTTAAGGAGCTGAGACTGAGTCATGCAATCTCTTTGAATATCTTCCCGCTCATTCTCAGCACTTTAAGGCTAATTAAAAATTTACAGAAGACCACCAGTAACAATCCAGGTGTTCAAAATTTACAACAGAATTATAATCACTTAGAAAAAGCTTCAACTTGGTTCAAAATTGTACTAAATTTTAAGACGTTTTTTACTCAAATACAAAAAGCACCCAGAGTATACAATGAAAGAAAAAATTACAAACGTCAATTTAATGATTGAGCTTGCAACTTGGTAGATGAAAAAGGCAATGAGCATTACTGGATTTATTTGCTCTGCATAGTACTAATCATTTGATACAGTTTATTTTACTCAAAACAACTTACAAGATATGCATACTACTGTCTGTAATAAATGAGGAAACTGAGGCTCAAAGATGTAAAATAGTTTGGGTCTCTCAGTCACAAATTAGATCTGGAATTAATTAGAGCTATCGTAATGTCCAAAAAAACAACTAATAAGCCATAAATATAACCAGTAGATAATAACTAGCATAACAAGTATGAAACAAACCTTGAAGACCAGTAAAAGGTACTAAGCATACGGCAGTGGTAAGTAAAAGTTATGAGAAGAGGAACAGAACAGAATAGTTAGGGCTGGTTTCAAAGTCAGAAAACCTGGGTTCAAACTAGGTTCCAACACTTCTTAGTGGTTCCAAACCTCAGTTTCCTCAATGGTAAACAGATAAAACAGCACCTACCTATTCTATAGGATTGTTGGTAGGATTAAATGAGATAAGTGTATAAAGCATTTAGCATAGTGATCAGTACATCTTTTAGAAACACTTTAATTACATACTACCCAGTAGAATGGAAGCAAGGGCAGTATTTACTTAATTCACTACTGCAGTGAAGACGTAATGTATTAAATAAATTAATATACAAAATCATTCACTAAATATACTATAAGTAGCTTGGCAAGTATAAGGTGGGCTGGGAGCTCAACACTGGCTAGATGTCAGAATCACTGTGGATTTCTGAAGTGAGTTGATTCCCAAGATATACCATAAGCTATCGAATCAGAAGCTTCTTAGTTGGGATCTGGATTTCTGTTTCTTTTAGAGTTCCATAGGTAATGCCAAGAGAATATCCAGGCTGAGAACTACTGGTAGAAAGGAAAGAAATCTGCACTTTCTATGAGACTTACAGTGTGCCGTACAGTTCAGAAGTTCTAAAATCAGTGAGAGGTAGATTAACTCCAAGAAGGTTCAGGGGAGCATTCTGGGAAAAAAGGCTCAGAAAACCTGTAGTTTCATCTATTCTAAACATTATCTTTGAAGTGGAATCATTTTTATCTTCACATTATAAATGTGCTATCTTATAGAAAAAGAAATGACGAAATGAGCTTTTACAGAAAACACTAAACTTTAAAATGAAATTCTTCTCAGTCTGCACATTACCACATTATTTCCTGCTTGATCCTTCTTTTGATCAAGCAATGCCAAACATTTGTGCAACATAAGATGAGGGCATGGAGTTTAGTCTGGGGCCAAAAAAACAGCTGAATAGTCCATGCGGGGACCAACCCTTTTCTGCACTCTACCACCTGATGACATGAAGGAACTCTACATGGAAGATGATGACCAGCTATGCTTTACCTCTGTTGAGGGCTAAAAGGATTAAAAGAAGTGTGCTCCTGGCCCTCCCTGGTGGCGCAGCGGGTTAAAGCACAGCACTGAGAATCTAAAGCCACTTCCTCATGAGTTCGATTCCCGCCTGCCCCGGAGGTGACCACATGGCGTGGCAGACCTCTCCTGACCCGCCCGCTGCTCCCCTCAGCAGTGTATTTCGTTGATCTGCCTGTTCTGCACTCCACTCTGTCTCTGGTGAATTCTCTCACCCTCCACATCTCTGGCCTGTATCCCAGTTCTGTATGCACAAATAAAATAAAATCTTTATAAAAAAAAAAAAAAAAAGAAGTGTGCTCCTACTAGTGCACAAAAAGTAACTGCTAACTATAGTATAACCTCAGTTAAATCAAAACAAACCAAGTCACAACCCTCGTATTTTTTAATAGTAAAGAGGAAATACTCCAAAATGTATAAATTTAAAGACTTTGAAACAATTCTGAGAGCATTCCCAAGGCTAGCAGATATGTTATATAATCTTCATTATCTTCATTTATATTATCCTTCATTGAGAATAAGGATTTGGAATTACAGCATTTCATAGCCCTAGAATATCCTTAAAAAGATAAAGCTGGATATACTGTCAAAATATAAGAAAAGTTACATATGATAGACAAACATTTTCCTCAGAGCTGAAATTTAAAAGGATTTTTAAATTAATGATTGTTAGAGTAGATAAATCAAATTCTAGAAAATATCACTTCCATTGCACAAGATAAACTTATTTATAAAAGAAAAAATGACTAATATCAAAGGCTGACAAACATTTGGTGAGTTTCTAGGACAGTACATTAACTTCTCTTCTTAAAGATTCTAAAAATAAAAAACCACTCCTCTAGCTGGATTGGATTGGGTATATGCATGTGCAGAGACACAGGGATAACCTTGGATCACCTTTTAGATAGCCACAGCTCCATGATTTAACAGAGGACCCTCTACTTTGGCTTCTAAAAAAGAAAGAAACTAAAGTTTTGAGAAAATGGGTGAAGGATTTTAAGATAACAATCTGTAATTTATACCCAAGCCATTCTCTGCTTCAACTGAATGGCTAATTCCACCTTCCTCTCAACTACTTGGCTTAATTTCTTTTATAAAATGGTTTTGATAAGGGAAGAGAGAAAAAAGGAGATACCTTGGGAAAGGTAAGACAAAAATCTGCTTAGCCCAAAATTCAAAACAAAAGCTTAAAAAATGCATCTTATTTTTACACATAGGTGCCTTATTTTAGAAGGGCAGAGACAAATCTTTCCCTCCTCCCAAAGTATTACACTTCTCACTCTTATTTATCTTCATCTCTAGATACAGTCATAATACTAGTGGTCATTCAAAACACTAAAGGACAAACTATAATACTTTGTTCTACATTGCTATATCAAATATTGGCTAAAACAAACCTAGTTAATAGCCAAGGATAAGTGATCTTTTTGGTAATGGTTGTACTGGGGTTGTCTATGGGTTGTAATGGGGCTGAAATGACCTACGAGGCATTTGTAGCTTGACAGGGTTTTATCAATCCTAAAAATCAATATCCTATTTTGTAGTATTTCTCCCATCTCTCTATGCTCTGATACACACTCTAAAAGATTGGGATCAACGGCAGTTATGGGTAAGGACAAAATACAAAGGATGATGAAAACTAAACTAAATAGAAAAATGGAAATCTGAAGATAGCAGCAACAAATGTTCCCTTGAACACTGGCTGGAAACAGACTCTTAAGCACATAAAGGAATATACAACTGAGCTGAAATAGAGCACAAATAAAAACATTTATGACCCCCTGGTTCTCTATGTCAATGTGGCCTGGGACCCTGTGTCTATCTCAGCACAGAAAAGACTACTTTACCTAGTGTAAAATCTGAGTTCCAATTCATATTCGCTGTTCTTCAAAAGTAGCAATTTTACCACTATTAGACTGTCCACTCAGTCAGTAAAACTACAAGTGGTCAAAACATGAACCTAAGCACAATCTTTGTGAAACTGTTTACTTCCAAAAGAAACATAGAGAAACCTGTATACATAGGAGGGGAAAGATTCAGAGGAAGATGTAGTCTGACTTGCCCTTTGCCCTCTCCATGCAGGAAAAATACCTCACCAAGGGCCAGTAGTAAGACTAATGTAGGAACTGAGAATGGAAGACTAATGAGGTACTTTTTTGATTTCTGTGTGCCAGAGAAATTCATGGCAATTAAGTCTTTCAATGGACCAAGGAGGCACAGATTTTAATATGGTGGACAGTGAATTATAAGTGACTTACAAGTAAATCAATTAATGAATGCATGTACAAGTAGAGACAGTTTCTTCAAACAGTCCAGTCAATCTGTATATATTAATAAGTCACTTAGAAATCAAGTAACATGCATCTTAAAAATTTTTGGTAAACATCTTAATCAAAATAGGGGATATAACAGAGCACAGTTAGAAGGTTAAATGAGATGATGAAATGGACAAATACATGAGAACCTGAAGAACACAAATTATAGAGTTTTCTTATATAATCAAGGTGTCTTAGAATTTATGTAGCATTTAACATCTACAAAGTGTCTCAACTTTATCAACAGTCCTGTCTTAAGGATGAGCATGCTGAAGCACTGAAGGACTAAGTGAATTTTGGAACACACACACACACACACACACACACACAAAACCAAACCTGGAGCAAGGAATCTTAACAAATTCTTAAGACATAATCATTCATTCATTAATGCAGTCAACAAGTATCTAGCATGCTGGATGCTGATGAGAAAAAAGACAGAATCTTTGAATAAGCAAGTGATTGCTCTATGTTGTGATCAATCCTTTCACAGTGACAATTTACAAGTGCTGTTATAATCTGACTCTTCTGAGTGAGAGTCAGTGATATTTCACAGGGATCAGCAACTTGGCCAAGTACTGGATACAAAGGAAGTGGCCAGGCAGACAGGAGGAGAAAGGGGACAGTAGGTTCTGAATGAATAAAAGCAAAGAAGCTTTTCATGTCAAGAGTTTATCATGTGCTGCAAGAAAAAGCATATAGCAACAGCAAAGGACCACACGATGGAAGGCTACCATAGAGAGTTTGAACTTAGCTTCCGGCAGTGAAAAGTAACCAAAGGACTTTAGACATGCACAGTTGTGTTTCATTTATGAGAAGAATGCTGGTAGCACTATAGAAGATAGCTTAGAGAAAGCACATGGGACCAGAGGCAGGAAAACCCACTAGGAAGGTTTTCGTATAGTCCATGCAAGAAATAAGAGCCTAAATTCAGGCAAGAGAACAAATCAGGGCCCTCCCTGGTGGCACAGCAGGTTAAAACACAGCAGCACTGAGAAGCTAAAGCCACTTCAGCATGAGTTCGATCCCCACCTGCCCTGGAGGTGACCCACATGGCGTGGCAGACCTCTCCTGACCCGCCCGCTGCTCTCAGCAGTGTACTTCATCGATCTGCCTGTTCTGCTCCCCAGTCTATCTCTGGTGAAGCCTCTCACTGCCTCTGCACCTCTGGCCTGTACCCCAGTTCTGTATGTATAAATAAATAAATCTTAAAAAAAAAAAAAAAGAAGAACAAATCAGGCAGAAATATTTTTCCCTAATTCTTAAGGGTAGCTTCTATCAGGTAACACACACACACATATTATGAGAGAATATTTTAATACCATTATTTATATTCTTGGTACAGAGTTACATCAAAAGATATGTCATGTTAAACCACCAAAGAGACCTAAGGGAAAGTTCTAAAATACTTGGAAAAAATTTCAGCAGAATAAGTATTTTTGTAATAGTTTGAAGCTCAAGCAATTTTTATGTCAACTTGCAGTAATAAATATTGAAATAGTAGTAGTGAATTTCATGCATTATCAGCATGAGACCTAAGTTTCATTAACCTCTTGTTGCCTGGAATAAAGTTTTTCAGTGCTTTTAACATTACATAATGAAAAGCAAATCAGCAACAACAAAGCTAACTGCCAAAGAAACAGCTGAAACAATCAATTATTTTTCTTGTGACATACAGACAAAAAGAATCTCAAGTAACAAATCAGAATTCAGCAGAATAGCATAAACAATAATACAATGGTAACTGCATCTTTTTACCAAAATGCAACAATAAAATTAATAATTTTTACCTCTTGCCAGTCTTCAAGTTTGTTGTCAGAAAGATCTAGTTCTGACACATGAGCACAGAAGGCAGCAATTTCTTTTTCATCTCCTGCACAGGTTATTCCACAGCTGTTCAACACCAGTACACTTGGGAGGTTGAGGCGATCTAAATCACAGAGGAACAAAACACTTTCTACATCAGTCTAATTTCTGCCTACATATATTCAGCCCTCGGGAATCAAAATCAAATGGCATGAAATTACATAGGACCTGGAAAATATACGCAGTGATGGGACCCAAGGATGGTGAATTCTAAGGGAGACTGTCAAATATGACCCAGGAGGAAATTAAAAATACTGGATTAGTACCAACAAAAAAAGTCCTCTAGGCTTTAACTCCAGACAGAATTCTTCATCTCAATTACTAACAACAGAGCCATCATCTTCTCTGAACATTACATTCATGTGATTCATGTCTGGACTGTTGTCTCCTTATTGGCCTCGATTCTTTTTTAATTTAGTTGAAAAATATCACTCCGGATAGCTCTTTTTCCTCCATATAATGTGTATTTTCACCCTTTGCTGCCTATGAAAATGATCTCAAACTTTTGGACAGTCTACCTGCTAAACCATTTCTATTTTTTTAAGTTAATATTCAAGAAATATTCCTCACTTAAGTGGCTCTATTTCAAAATCGACATCACTTTCTATTATGTTTGTCCATCCATTATTCTATTTCATAGTCATGTAGAATTTGTCCCCTATGAAAATGGGTCTTTTAAAAATATACAATGGCGGCCCTCCCTGGTGGCACAGCGGGTTAAAGCATTGCACTGAGAAGCTAAAGCCGCTTCCGCATGAGTTCGATCCCCGCCTGCCGTGGAGGTGACCACATGGCGTGGCAGACCTCTCCTGACCCGCCCGCTGCTCCCCTCAGCAGTGTACTTCATAGATCTGCCTGTTCTGCTCTGTCTCTGGTGAAGCCTCTCGCCACCCCTCTGGCCTGTACCCCAGTTCTGTATGTACAAAAAAGTAAATCTTAAAAAAATAAATAAATAAATAATATATATATAATGGCAATGGGGGAAAGTGTTTCAGAATCTGAAACTGTGATAAATTTGGTTAAATTGGGGTAATCAAACTATTGCCTATTCAAAAGTAAAAACAGTCTTACTATCTCAGAATAAACATGATAATTAAACTATTTATTACCTATTTGGTGTAAAACAAGGACTTACAAATACACTATTTTATTAATGGGGGCCTCAAATTGTATGGTTTTTTAATTTAGTACTTTTCAGTATCAAATTTCTCAGAATGGAAATGAATTCTGAGAAAAAATTGCCAAGTTAATTCTTTCTACCATTCCACTTATATGGAGTGATGATATATTTGCATTGAGAAATAACCTACATACAGTAACCTTTGGACATAGAAACTAAAACACTGTTCAATATTAACCTCATATAATTACAAAGAACTACTTCCAAGAAATGTTACCACAGCAAGCAAAAATGCAAAGGAAAAACACATTTTGCTTTTCTAACTATAGATCTTTATTTACACCATAATCCTTCTCCTAAAATGTCTTTATTTCTTCTCTAACCAAATTCTATATATTTTTATAATCTTTTTAAAATAATAGTTTATTTTTACATCATTTTGTGCCCTTTTCCATCTCAGTTGTAATCCCCATGGGCTTCCCATCACCAAATTACCCGTGTGCCATCACCACAGTCCCGTGCACTTCCCTCCTCCCCAAATTCTATATTTTTAAAGGGTTAGTTCAGGTCTCATAGATTTGACTCTTTCCTGGTCATATTAATTAATGCTCTTCTAAATTTCTTTCCCAATCACTGTGGCATTCGATGGATTCAACATCAACTACAGCGATGAACTACTGTTTTAGCTTCTTAAATGTTAATACTTTGTAGTCTTAAAATTATTTTGTACATTTCAACTTCCTTGAAAGAATATGCATTTGAAATATTATCACTCACGTATTTTTCTTGACCTATGAGTATAACTAAAATGTGTTTTAGGGTCCTCCCTGGTGGTACAGCAGGCTAACGCACAGCACTAAGAAGCTAAAGCTACTTCATCAAGAGTTCGATCCCCTGCCCTGGAGGTGATCCACATGGTGTGGCAGACCTCTCCTGACCCGCCCACTGCTCCCCTCAGCAATATACTTCTCAGTTGGCCTGCTCTGCTTCCCCACTCTATCTCTGGTGAATCCTCTCACCGCCCCTGCAGCTGTGGCCTGTACCCCAGTTCTGGATGCATAAACAAATATATCTTTTTAAAAAATGCATTTTAATCAATCTGGAATAAAACCCTTCAGCTTTGTAAAAGAACTTAAATCATAGCAAGGGAAAAAGATTAGTTGATCCATACTTAAAAAAGGCTATCACTTCTAAACAAGGCAGTATTTTGTTTTAATGTCCTAAGCAAGTCCTAGTAAATGATTATTATTTAGATGCCACCTTTCTTACCTTTCATAGGAGAGCCCTGAGGTGTGGCTGGGACATGGACTCCCATCCCAGGACCACGGCGGTAAGGAAAGTTTTCAGGACTATATTTTTCACACAATACTTGCATAAAACTCCTTCCACTAGGTTGATCCATCTTCCTTTCCTAAAATACTACAAGAAACCATCAAAATTATTTATGTCTTCTATGACGCATAAAATAAGAACCAATTATTTATAAGGCATTACTGACACACACAACATGGTCACTGCTCCCAGGAACTCACAATATGGTGGTATCTTTTGAGATTTAGAAAAACTATGCAGACAAAAAGAGCACACTACAGTTCAGCATGTGATAACTGCAAAATAGATTAAAAGTGCTATAAGATTTAGAAGAAGCAATCATTTCCAACAAAGGATAACTAGAAGATTTTTGACTGGTCCAGAGAGTTCATGTGGTAACAGGAAAAATGACTTTAAAATAAATGTATATTGAAATATCAAACTAAAGATTTAGAATGAATTCTCTGATATTTGTTCCTCAAAATCTATTTTCCTCTTCTTCCACAGAAATATCATTTAAAACCATATACTGGCTGTTCCTATTTAGGAATGAGTATATGACTAAGTTCCAGCTGATCAATTTATAAATGCCTAGAGCACAGAGTAGACCCACTGAGCACCTCTATATGCTGAACAGTTTTGCTGAACGATTTATCCAATTTTAGACTACAGTACATTCATGAGTGTACATCACAAGTCATCTTGCAAAAAAGGGACTGCTCTCTGACAAGACCCTCATTTGTGAGTTTAAGGATAGAGCTAGTACAGTCAGTTCTTTCTGTCAACACAATGGTAAGTGTCTGCTACATCCTCTGCCCCAGCACTGACTGTGTTAAAGCTTAACTGTGTTGTGTGTGTTCATCTAGGAGAAGGTTCAGATGGAAAGTTCTTTGTTAAGGTAAAGTTATCACCAACAGCAAACACAGTACTAGCGACAGGCCCATGGCCTAGTCTCAAGCAGAATGCCAACAGAATTTTTAAAAATGTTTAATAAAAAGTCAAAGACGTTATGCTGCTATCTTCTGTGTAATTGGCAGTTCAAAAGAATGAAAAGTGTGTAGGGAGGGTGCTGAACTGTCAGTGTCAAAATAAGACACAGAGCTTAAACAGCAGCTTTTAACTGGAAGCTTCAGGATTGCTTAATTGCTCTGCAATACACAGGCATTACTCTTACAGTTTAACTATAGGCAAACTGAGGAATTACCATTCCTCTAAGACTCAGAACAAAACAAGTCCTAGTAAGCAAGGACTCTTAGGGACTTGAAAGAGTGATTCCTCACAGCCTCATTGTTCTAACCACCTCTCCCAAAAGTCTAGAGTTCCCCCCAATCTGTCTTCTTCTTCCCCCCTCCCCTAAAAATTTAAAAGCAATCTCAAGTTGTCTTCACAGGTCATTTTCCAAGATATTCTACTGGAATAACTTCCCAGGAATGCAGACAGGCTACACATTAATACATGGGTTTTGAATTAGAACATTAAGTGGATCAGTAATATAAATATACTTAACTGTTGAGGCAGCATGAGGAAGAGGAGGAGGTAGAAAAGGAAAACTAAAAACCAAGCAGAATTAAAAAATGAGGACATACAGGATGGAAAAAGATCTTTAACTTTAGTCTTTCAAAAGGTTTTTGAGGTAGGGGTAATCTCTGATTTTGGAAAGAATGGGTGTCATATTATTGCTGACTATCTCTGCAGTAAGTAGTGTTCTAACACACTGGTGAAAATGTTCTAAATCAGGGGTAAGAACCAGGGAGCAGGAATCTTGGACAATGTAGCCTGGCTATAGGACCAAGTCCTATAGTGTGACTGAAAAACCTCAACTCTGTGCCTCAAATTCTGACTATATTATGCTTTTGTAAAATGTTTGAAGGCAGTCAGGATAAAGAACAAATTGGAAAAGGTGCTCAGTACACTTTTGCCAAATAAATTGATATCGGAAAAGAACATCCAGTTTCCTAAATATCTTCAATTTCTGTCAAACAATTTGTTCTCTATTTTCCTAGTCAAAGGGTGAGATCACAATAAGTATAAAACTCAACAGAACGATCAACAGAAAATAAGCATGTCTGATCACTAGCACTGGAAGATACACAAGAAACATTTTCATATGCTGGTATGCAAGATCTTTATTTACTTCACAAAAAAATCTTTATGGTAGTACCATGCTCAGAAAGTGTGAATACTACCACCCTCACTCACAACTTTCAAGAAACACAAATCTTACCCCATAGAGTCCTAAAATCAAATATGTAATAATGTAAAAATAAATATATCTCTTTATATGTGTATAGGTTATTTTTAGGAGGATAAGATAGAAATTAATAAAATTAGTACCTATGGTTGACTCCAGAGAAAAGAAATGAGGACCAGGATAGAAAGATTTGCTTTTTTCATTGTTCCCTATGAATCACCTGAAGTAACCAAATGTATACATGTATTATCTTTTGCAAGTACAAAACATCATAAATGACCTAGAAATGACTTAATAACTTCCCAAAGGGTTTATTAATTCATCCTTATAGTCGAATTTTCTATGAAAAGAAATCCAAATTGAGCTGTGTGGAATATAAAATATCAGCAATTTTAAAAGAACTGGGAAATGACAAAGAGAGATAAAATGGATGGTGAAACAGAAATAGATTCTTTTGTAAAAAAAAAAAAAAAAGCACTGGTAAATTTAAAGAAAGCAGAGCAACACACCTGAGTCTCTGAACTAAATTACAATTAAAATGAGAGGAAATTAGCTCAATTTAAAGTTTTATTGCTTTTTAATCTTTTAAATCTCTCTCTATATCTATCTATCTATATATATATATACTGTTCATTTTTGTACAATATTTGCTTTCTCCTCTTAGGTGTAGTCTCCATAAAATTACTACCACCAGGGCTTTCCTTGTGGCACAATGTTAAAGGCTCAGCCCTATCAAGCGATCTCTAGCAATCTCCAGCCCCTACACTTGAGTTGACCCCCGCCAGGGAGCTGACCCACATGGTGTTGCAGATCTCTCTTGTCTAGCTAGCTGCTAGATGTACCTGTATTTCAGTAGATGTACCTGTTCTGTTCCCCACTTTGTCTCTGGTAAATCCTCTCATCCCCCATGCCCATACCTCTGGCCTACACCCCAGTTCTTATATGCATAAATAAATAAAAATAAACCTTTTTGGAAAAAAAATTGCCACCACCCATTCACCTGAGCACCAACACTATAAATCAGAAACATCCGCAGGGGAGGAAGAAGAGGGCTCAAAACAGGGGAGGGAAGAATACATGGGACTAAAAACTCTATTTTTAAAAGAGGGATGGGGTTAAGATGAAGGGAGTATGACGATAGCGCCAGGTGGCTGAGCCATGCTGGTCTCCACTAAGGCTCTCCAAGGCAAAGCAAGAGCTGTTTCAGGGAGAGTAAGCACGGAGAGGCTAGAGAAGCACCCTCAGGCCTCTCACTTCCTTTGCTAGGCAAGCAAGATGTGCTAATAAAAGTTATCAAAATATGTCACCCAAATTACCCAAACTGTATCCAAACTACTGTGACTCTGGAGCCATAAAAGCTCTGAGAGGAAGCTACAAAGCCATAAGCCTGAGGATAAGCTTCAGGCACCCCTGTCATCTCTGACTGTAGAGACTAACAAAGAAAAGAGAGGGGTTCCCTGCATCAGAAAGCCTATCCCACAGAATTCAAGTTACTGAATAGTAAATAGCTGTGAACAGATTTACAATTCTAAAAAAAAATCACAATAATTCAAAATATGTATTAATTTATGATGAAACTAAATCTCCAGAGTTTTCATAGCATACAAAGAAGAAGAGGGATATTCTTAAATAGTTTAAAATTACTTTGAGTCCTTTGACATGAACCCATTTCTATACAACTAACCAGTCTTATCTATTTATTAAAGAAGGGCAAAATAAACAAAACTACACTCTAAAAGCTATCTGACGTTATTTTGCTACCAAATATTTTAAAACAGGTTAAATATATATTTTGTCCAAAGGTTCTACAATTTCACCTACAGGATCCTTTGGTCACATAACATTTCCTTCTAGTCACTTTCGTCCACAAAGGTGCTGGTTTCATTCACAAGGCAATTTAAGAATAAAAATGCTTAATTAAAAAAAGTGGAGACAACAAATATATTTAGTTTTCTCTGCTAGCTCCTCTTAGCACCTTACAAAATGATTCTAGTTTGGCTTATTTGCCCATTCATACAGTTATAAAATGTGTGTGTTCCAAAAGCTTAGTCTTTCTTACTTTGATTTGACAAATGCAAACAAGCTGCTGAGTCTATGCCAAACACTGTGCTAAGCATTAAAAGAAAATTAGAATGAATGAAACCCCAGTGCTGTCATCAGGGCAAATCCAATCTAAAAGGCAATACATGAAGATAACACAGACCTGAACTCACACATTAATAGTGAAGTGAGACATAAGGATGTGTTAATTTTTGCAAAAATGACCAAGGAAATGCAAGGTGAATCCTGAGCCATTTGAAAAGACCAGGCTAATAGGGTGGAGAGGAACATACCGGGCACAGGAAATCATAGACCATGACAAGTACAAGAGGCCTGAAAGATGGACTGTTAAGTGGTATTGTTAAAATATAAAATTCCTACAGAGATAAAGAAAAAAATTTGATAGGTCACTATGAATACATTGCAAGGATTACTGACCTTCATTCAAATATCAGGGGGTCACAAATAGTGAGAAATTTAAAATTTATTTAAAGGATTAGACAATCAAAGAGTGTGTTCACCTCCACACAATTTCAGTACTGGTCAGTTCCAGTCAAGGGGATAGAAAACATAGTACAGGGAGTTTAAGACACTGAAATCCATCCTTGGAGAAGGTTAGACGACAGCAGGAAAGAGCCAATATAATGAAGAAAATCCAAGTATCCAAAAAGAGCTGTAGCTTGTTCTTTTTAGAAAAAGACAAAGATAGATGATAAATTTTATAAACTTTAAATAAATTTAAATATAAAATAAATTTATAACTGAATGGGGGGGTGAGGTATGGGTATGATATAAGCAACTAACAAAAGAAGTCTGAGAAGGAAATTCTGGAACTTCAAAGACTCTCTTAGGATTACTAGCTTTCTCAATTTTTCTA